GGCTTATACTTTACGACAACATACTTAACCACTTGTATTTACTGTTAGAATTACTTTTTTGATTTACCTCTGAATTGACTACAATATGAAGAAATCTGTACCATTGCACCTCACTGTTTTGGAGAAACATGTGCAGTGTGCAGAATATCACTGACGTACGGAGGGGGAAAGATTGTGAATTGTTAACTGAATATTGTAAAACCACATTTCGCTGTGGTTGTAGTGGACTGTACTTGAAAATGACGGTAGTGGAGGCAGTGGAGGCCAACTAAACTTAAGTATATGTACATATAGATACATATGATGATGTATACATATGTGTATGTATGAGATCCATGCTGCGTCCATGAACGATTACGTTTCTCGCGTTCTGACGTCGGTCGGTGCCACTGTTGATCCATTTTATTATTATTATTATTACTTACATAATAAGTACCATTTCCCACAACGGTTATTCACTTCGCGGCCGATGTGTAATAATGGTTATGACTGAATACGCAAAGGGGTTTGCGCTCCTTTATCACGCGATGTTGTAGACTTTAATAGTTGCGGGTGTGTTATACACATACGTGCAACTGTTACGGCTTTATCTTATAACAGCTACTGAACATTCAAATGGTATGACCTGCAGTAATGCATGCATGATCCGCGTGCAGGATATAACATGCACATAGTCTACTATATGGGAAGCTAACGTATTAGCCATTAACATTTTTTTCGGCATTTACTGTTTTACGGTGTGCAAATGACTTTTTTAAACTAAATTTAAGAAGGAGGTTGATAAAATATGTTTTTTTTTGCAATGTCTAAAACATTGAATAGCAACTTTTTAAACTTTAATTATATTTATTTTTAATTTTTCTATACCTAACCGGTACAAAACTTATAGGCTTAACGCAAATTAACACACGATTTTAGGACAATCGAGAGTAAGTACCTTATGGGTGGTTATAACAAGTGATTGCATCTTTTTAATGCATTAATTACACTTGAATATTTTTATTAATCTCTATATCTGACATTAATTTCTACGTTTGACTTAGCAGGGACGAAAATTATATCCCACCGGTAATTTATAGCTATATAAGTATAAAAGCGCTCTTTAAGGTATGATGTACAGTACATATTACATATGTTAACTAAAATAACTGTTCTTGCTGGTGTGATAGTGTATACCTAGTACCTATAAGAAGCCGAGGGTGTCAAGTGTTGAACGTACCCGTCGGCTTAAATAAAAACAAAAGGGGCCCGTGGGTTATGTGTAGCTAGTAGAGGCCATAATAAAGTTGAATAATCTGTCCATTTTTACTTTTGCATTTGATTTTTCTTCTCTAAGACACAGGAGAAAATTTATGTGCAAAATTAATGAGTTGAACAATTTATGACCGATTGTGTCAAGTAATCGCCTATGTACATTCTTGTTTCTATTTGATAATTAATATGTCCAGCAGCGCATTGCTTTGTTATTGGGTTGTAGGTGGATACACACGCACGACAGACACGATTACAACGCAAGTTTGTTTCTATTTTTTGCACTTCCGCAAGTATGTATTCGTGTATGCACCCCCGGCGAGAGTGTAACAGCAGCAACAATTTTTCCTCTTTAATTTGAAGATGTAGTCGATAAAAATTAAATGAATTTTCACATTAATATGTAAAATAGGATAGATTAATAGGACACCTTCTCAGGCAAGAAGGTCTAGTCAGAGACATATTAGAGGTAGAAACGAAAGTTAGGAGGGGTAGAGGTAGACCGAGATTAGATTACTGTTCGCAAATAGTTAAGGATGTGGGTTGTTCTAGTTTTAGGGAAATGCGAATTTTAGCTCAGGATAGGAAAGAGTGATGGTACGTGTCCAACTAGTCTTAGGACTGACGACCTTATGATGATCATGATGTAAAATCTAGTGAGGACAATATAGCACCTTCTTATAGTAATAATCTTTCAATTAATTAATTATTCTTGACAATATCTATAAGGAAGCGCTTTTAAAGCGCTAAAAAGTCTTAAAAAACTTTTGGGTGTTTCATTCCCATCAGCCACTAATACTCCGGACTATGCCGAAAGGTAGGCCATATCGCTCGCTTTTAAAGTTCTCTTATCAACAGCATATGATAATGTTTTTTGTATCTATCGTTCTGGTATAAGCAGCTTTGTAAAGGAAATTGGAGTGCTTGCGATAGAAGATGATCAAATATTTTGGAATAATAATACAACTTCTAATAAAAGAATAAGATTAAGTAAGTGTCTACCTTCGATATCCACATAAGATATGCAGACAGGATAATACGATATGCTAACCGTTCACCAACGGAATAATTAGATTAGGATATAGAGGGACGACTTGGTTATGATATAAGTGCACCTTGCATCATCGACAATGGTACCATCCGTTCAAATTTGGAGAGGGTATAGGTATACCATATTATACATATAATTCATTCATCCGTTTGAATTTACTTATTTATTCATCACTTTTTATTACTAACTGATTTAGGTTAAAAGTGTTAACATTTTTTAAAAATATTTATCAAAAGTAAATCCCACAAACAGATAATATATTGACAATTTTAAAAACCATTATACATACCTATATAAATAGCATTTATCGTAAATCAAACAATATAACAACAGATTTGACTAAATAACAATCAAGTAAATGAACTTTGCATGATTTTATTATGATCAAAAAATTAATTCAACACATCTATCTACTCACAATAATTTACAGCATTTTTAGATGTCATGCATGCTTAATAATATTCTAATTGTATGTAATTTACATCCATGAAAAATCCAAAACCTGTAAATATTAACAAATAGTTACAATAGAAAAAACAGGTGACATTGTAAACATTTCTAAGGTCGTATAATTTGATACTCTTATCGCGTTCATGCTGACGAATTTAAAACGGGTCGTGAACAGCATTTTAATTCGCATACGTTCATTTTATCGAGATCATGTTCCCTACTGTTTTTCAGCACAAAATAATCTTACATTGTTCATAACAATGAAGAGATACGTGCATATTTTGGAAATAAACTTTATCAATTTATCAGCTAGCTAGTATTCGTATGTGACACAATTTAATTCATATATTGTTAGATCATTTTCTAAAACTACGTGGTGCTACCATACTAAATTATTACAATATAATCTAATAATAATAATAATATAATATGACTGTGATTATAGCTTATGTAGTTTTATTCTAGGGTGGCGGTCAAATAATTACACAACTATATGTTTTTTGTAACGTTTCGGTTTATTTAACCATCTTCAGACTGGAAAAAACTGCATAATTTAATAATAACGGTCAGGAATCTAACTCAAATTGTGATTACAGCGACAGAGTAGGCCGATTTTGCATCTGTTTTTTTAATGTAATATAAAATGATTTTTGTTACGTGTTTTCGTTAAAAACAAATGTGAAACGCTCCTTCTCTTTTGATAAGAAACTGAATCTCATAAGACGTTGCATAATTAACCTCTATTACTCAACTTTCGTTTGATTGGATTTAACTAACAATAAACACCTTATCACTTTTCGCAAACTGATTACAGAATTTTTTAAAAAGTAAGAATTTGAATAACAAATCCGGTTTAGAAACAGGTTTGTCAGAGTACTTTGGTTGTAAAACGTTTTTGAGAATAAACAATTCATTCTGTTAATGTTCATTTTGAGGCTTTTTAATTATAAAAGAAAACTGTTTGTTCGCTAATAGCCTGAGTAATTCTGGTAGAAAAAGTATGTAATTAAGTAGGTCCCCGAATAATAGTTGCTTTATAATAATAAGTATATTTGTTGTTGGCTCCTTTCTCTAGTGTTTTTTTTTATTTGTTTTTAGCGGATTTTAATACAGTAGATTAGTAAGATTTAAAGTGTACTATTTCTGCAAATTATTAATTAGTGTGATTGTATTTCACGTTCAACAGAATTAAAATGCAGATAAACGATAAGCCAAATTAAATAGCAGTAATATGCTAGTTTAACACCAATAATACTGACATGCACCGCAACTGTGTATAATTAGGTGCGAATATTCTAATAAGAATTGAATTCGATTAAAAAGTAAAAACTAAGATTCCTATAAATTAAAAAGTAACCCCTCTCCTTCCAAGAAAACGATAAAGATGAAATTTGTTTCATCGTCACTTAATACATAATTATTAATGTGGAAATAAAAAACTTATTAGAAAGTTGTTGAACAAGATCATTCTGCTTAGCAAACAGAAATGCCTATACATACATGTAATATGTAGTAAAATGAGCTGCATAGTTACCAAACCAATGATGACATTGTAGTAAGTTTTCAAGGACAAACGTAGGAATCGGGATTCAAAATTTAATTACAAGAAGCAGGTATAGAAACAAAAAACTATACATTTCGTAGTCAAGTGTAACAAAGAGAAGGAAAGACGTGATCAATGCTAATACAGATTTCTACATTGAAGAGTTATTCATGGTAACGTTAGTAACGGACGATAAGGAAATTTCAAAAATATATTCCGGTTGATATCAGATATTACACAATTTTGATGTACCTACCCGTTGCGATATAAATTAATAAATAGCAACTTCATAAACTAATTCATATGATCTCTGTAAAACCAATGTAGGGGTACCCCTAGGCATTTCTTAGTTTTGGTTTTACCATTTGCTGGGTATTTCTCATTTGCTCTGTAGTCTATTAATTGTATGCATTCATATTCATGAGAATAATCATTTATTAAGGTCTTATTATTTACACTTTTGTACTGAATTAATATCCCAAAGGCAAATGTATAAACTCTATACCTTATTGGGTATTTGATCAGAATCTGAGTTTTTCTTTAATTTAATTGCAAATTAATACACTTTTTGAGGTACTCGATATATGTATTAATGAATAACATAATAATAAATAATAACAAATTTCTATGAATAAATTATAATTAAATTTGATTCATAATAGTGAAAGTGGTACAAAAAATAAAGAAGTGAATATCTTTACTCACCGACAGTGTTCAAGACATGATCTTCTATTTCATCGTCAGATTCTGTACCAGAGTCGTGATCTTCATCAGCCTAAACAAGGAAAAAGAATTAGAAATAAATTCTTTATTCCGGATGAAGTAATTTTCTACAGTCGGCCATATTTACCGGCAGAGAAATTTCGCTTTCATTCATAAACTGTTTCAAAAATTTTGAAAATAATTCGTTGCAAGGGAAGAAAAATAAACTAAGCTTGATTTAAATGAGATCTGATGTTCGGAAAATTGTAACGAACAGAGAAAATCGAAACCGGAAAACACATTCCTTTGTTCCTACTGTGTTACAGGCAGCCATTTTTTACTCATATTTGACCTTCAGTGGGGTTGCCCTTACAAATTATTTTCTCCCCCAAATGATACACACCTTTGCGAAATTATCATCGTTTATTGAATGAGTTCTTAACTTATAGGTGAGGAACTTCAGCATATTTCGTTTGCGGATCTGTCGTTTTTCCGGTTTTGCCGCCACAGTTGCCGATTTCACAAACGTTTCACCGAAAAAGTTTATCCAACTCGCGCAAGCATTCTACAACACCGATATTTAGTCTAATAACAAGCCTCCACTATATTAAGTTGACATTTCCTGGGAAGCTTACTACTATTGCTTTCTCTGACCGGGCCTTACTACCAATTGTACGTATAGTCAGCTGCACTACGCGATTAGAACGATTTACTGTTACTACGAGGGGGAGGTACGGTTTCCTCTGTATTCTACTACCACTATTTTGACACTGAATTTCGGTGCTCACTTCATGGATATACACTATACATTAATTTTACTACCTACTGAATGCAATTTTTGCTTGCACTCCTCAAAAATTTGGTAATTATCAATATTAGAACTAGTAACCGACAAACTGCCTCTCCTCTACTTTATCTTGGACTCGTCCGTATCTCATTGATGACAGAGTAGGTCTGGTTGTTTGCAGGCTTTTCATTGGAGGTTCAGTTTCATCATACCTCTTCATTCAGGCTACGGTTAGCTTTTCTGTTTCATCCAGTGAGTTGAGTAATGTTAAACTTTTCGCGATTCGTAGCGCGTAGCATAACTGGGCGCAGAAGTTAGAATTCCAGGACCGGATTGAATGGAATGCTTAATCAATACAACAGTGTGACAAAGAGACCGAATTGACTATAACTCATAACTATATCTGCTTGGATGAAAAAGCCTTATTGATATCTGAAACTATTTTTTGGCATATACATACATCTGTTAATGAAAATCATAAAGGTAAAGAAAAGGAATTCGTTGTCTTCTGTTCAGAAATTAAAAATTTTCCCTTTCATAATCGACAATTTTTGTTCGCAACTCCACAAATAACAGGAGTCCCTTTGTTCTGGATGTAAGGACAATTGAGTTTCAGTAGCTTCAACATGTGTTTATATATTTCGAATTGTCGTTTTTGTAGCATTTTTTTTAATGTATGTAATTGTAAGTACAGATCTGACCTCTGTTCTGTGAGAGTTAGGATAATCCTTCCCGAAATAAAAAAAATTGTTATTACACTATTACGTAAGGAAGGCATGACATATTATTTATGTGTGATAGTGTAAGCAAATTGTACACTCGTATTTTCAGGATTAAAGCACTTTTTGATTCTTTTTTGTTGACAATGAGCAAAAGGAGTGGCGAAGCGCACTCACAACAGTCAGTCGCCGGTTTGTTCAAATTTCATTCAATACTAGGAATATCCTAACGCACCACTGAATTGGGGTGAGCTATAATTAGGGATCGGGAGCGCTCTGCTTGTTGAATGAAAGGGATGTACTGTGGTCATACGGGACCCGTTTACCTTCACCGGACGGTTCCATTATAAGCACCGATGTCGCTTTATTTAAAACGTGGAGGTACATTTTAATGAACACATTAACGTATCATTTTTTGTAAGGTACTTCTAAGCCTCGTTGAGTACCTGATAAAGTTTGTACAAAGTCTTTTGACAAAATAACACGAGCTTTATCATAAATGAACCAAATCAATATCAAGTTTGACATAGTAAAAAATGCTGCACTTATATTGTTTATCGTTTCAAGTATGTACCTGCAAACAGATAAATGCTTCTTTGAACCAATCTTCATTTAAATCATACGGGTGGGATTGGTACCATTTGTCGGTTAAATTGAAACAGTAATATGCTAGGTGCGAAAAATTAATTCCTTGAACAATTAGTTAATAATCTTTTAATCTTTTTTACAATAAATTGACGGACTCATGGGTGTTTTTTTTTACAAAAATATCTAAAATTTGTAGAATAGTTGCTTACGGGATTCCTGTATACACTTGTTAATATTGTCAAAAAATACTTGTTACAGTAGATTTTTTACTGGATATCCATCCTGGAGTGATTAGAATTACAAATTGTGCAAAGAGACGAACATATCAAAAGCAAGAGAAGAAGGACGTATGTTCTATGAACAATTACAGAATGAAAAAATACCCTCTAACCACAGGCTGCCACTAATAGAAGCCTTTAATGCTCGATTTGGAATTGGGATAAGTAACGACAATGAAGATCTGTTGATAAAATTCTGTTCCCAGAATAGTCTTAGAATCAACTATACGATTTCAAATACAAATATATCTTTATAAATACGCCAGAAACAACAATCTATGACGTATTGATAAATAGGCAATTTAAACCTACACAAAATGATAGACGTAAGAACACTGAACTCGACAACATAGGTAGTGAACATGCACTTGGAAGCAATTAGAAACGATAGCATAAAAGATCTCTATTCAGGAAAGTTCATATCTCCGCGAAACCTATAAATACATAACTAATGAACACAAACAGTGTGGAGAGTGCATGGAGCAAAGTGAAGGCAAATGTCACAAAAGCAACAAATGAATCAAACGGAAAAAGGAGAATTACAACAGGAGTTGTAAACAAGTATAAAACACCATGGTACACGGAGGAAGTTAAGGAAATCAAACTAAAAGACCAGATAATTGGCAATTTTACAAATATCGAGCGGCATGGTCCAGAGGTTTAGTCCATTGCTTAGCATTCCGGAGGACGCCGGTTCAATTGCTGATCCGTCTGCCTTGGTTTCCTTGGATCACTTAGGCAAATGCTGGGTCAGTAATATTCCACACATAATCTTTCATTCTCTTCTGTCTCCATTCCGTCCGTCTTATTTTTCTCACACTAACCATCTCCCAACCATTCCCACGATTCCTGAAAGAACGCTGAAGAGGGCCTTCCACCCTACCTTCCGGAGGGACTGCCCGCCCACTAGCATTAGTGGCTGAAGGGAATGAAACACCCAAAAGTTTTTTAAGATTTTTAGACCTTTAAAAGCGTTTCCTTATTGTTCTTCTCTTCATTTCTTCTTCTGTCTTCATTTCGTCCGTCTCATCTTTCTCACCCGAACCATTACCCACCCAGTCCCACAATTGCTGAAAGGAGGCTGAAGAGGGCCCTTCGCCCTACCTTCCGGGGTAGTCCGGAGGGACTGCCCGCCCACCAGCGTTAGTGACTGATGGTGTTGGACGAAAGTAAGCAAGACTGTAAAGATAAATGCAATAGATAACCCCCAGTGGAAAGAGTATTTTGAAAAACTACGGAGAAGAGGAGAAACACACACCAATTACGAAAGAATCAAACGAAGACGAGTAGGTAAACGTAACAGCAAATGAAATTTAAGACGCAATTAAAAAACCAAAAACTGAGAAGCTCCCTGGCTAGATGGAATAGGAATGACTTGCTAAAGGTCGGCAAAAACTGTTTAATACAAGAACTTACAAAATTATGTAATAAAATATTGAACAATCGTAAATTACCAGAAGAATGAAATCAAAAAAACCCTGAGTATTACCATGGGATCAATCTAATAAATGTGTGTCAAAAACTTCTATACAATATTATCCTAAACAAGCGTTAAATAGAAATAAGCGAAGAACAAAAAGGGCTCCGTACCTACTAACCAACGACGCGACTTGTATAACGTCAGGTGATGGAAAAAGCGATAGAATCATTGAATTTAACAGATCTGATTCTTTTGTAGACTTGAAGAAAGCATTCGATCAGGTGAATGAGTGAAACTATCTGACATTATCTCCTTATTAGTTGAAGGAAAAGTGCTACACCACAACCCAAATATGAACAAAAAATAAAGTATCGGAAGTCGTTAAATGTAACTCTGGTATAAGACAAGGTGACTCGCTAAGTCCAGCCCTGTTAAATATTGTGATGGAAAAAATAATAACTAGGGGATCTAACGGGATCTAGGATGGGGACTAAAAATTTAACAATAATATGATATGCCGACAGCGCATTACTTTTAACAGACACAGAGGATAATTTCCACAGACTACTACATAACTTTAACGTAACAACAAAACAAAATAATATGACTGTAGGACAGAAAGAAATTCAGATATACCACAACAATGTAACATAGCCGACAACACGAAATTCATACGACAAAGAAGAAGATTTTGGAATGAACATGAAATAAGAATGTAAAAAAAAAGAAATGTAGGAAGACCACAAAAAGATGGGCTCAAAGTTGGTTATCTTCGGAAGAGGATACTCCGTGATAAAAATTCGAAGCGTGAAGAAAACAGGGTAGTACGGTAATAATCTGCGACAAAAGAAGAAGTAAACGGACCCGTGTTTGTCTATAACTCCAAGCCATTATCCACTGCGAGTTTATTTCACGAGTATTTGGGCAAAAAAGTATTCCTGCATAGCCGCATCCCTCATAAAGTCCGGATTTAACCCCGTGTGATTTGTTTCTTTTCTCAAAAATGAAATTCTACATCAACGGTATTCATCGTAGCGGAGCAGTAGAGGTCAAGGCAGCTGTGAATGTTTCTGAACTCCATATCATCAAAAGGCTACGAGAGGTGTTTTCATGAGTAGGGTGGCCACTGTGAATGCCGATGATAAGGTATTGAGCAAAAATTAATTCACTTGTGTTTTACAAATTTCTAGACTTAAGTGGAACACACCTCGTATATATAGACAATACATATTACATATTGTAAATGAAATTTATCAGCAGGCGTCAGACTGTCTATACGTTGTCATAAAAATGGAGTTCTACTAATAGACTGTGACATGGTTTTCGCTTTTACGTAAAGTATTAACTGTGGAAAGTTATAAGCAAAATTTCGACATGATTTCGCCAGTTTTTGCCTCTAACTCAAGAATAATTATTTAACAAATATTGATAGGATTAAAGAACTAAAGAACAGAGTCAGAAGCAGGGTTGACGTCAAAATCAGATTTAATTTGAAGGTGATGAAGTGGTATAGAAGTATAGATCCAGCCGAAGCAGCAACCAAAAAAAAAATATTTTCAAAGCCGAAAACTTAAGTTAATAGTAATGCACAAAAAAACCTTTATCCCCGCGAACATGGCCAATTGTCAATTACGTATAAAGGAGAAAATTTAAGATATTTATTCACACCCACGGTTGCCTTGTACACAATAAACCAGTTTTCTTTTAATAAACAATTCATTGAATTTAACAACACAATTTATTTAAAATGAGATGTTATCGTGCTATAGAAGGATACCGTGGATAGAAAAGGTTTAAAATAAAAAAAAGATAAGGAAGAGTTGTTAGGACAATTAATTGGACATTAAGGTCTAGTAGAAGACATACTAAAAGCAGAAACAGGAGTTAAGGAGGAACAGAGGTAAACCTAGATTAGATTACTATTCGCAAGATAGAGATATAGACTACTCTAGTTTCCTAGAAATACGAAGATTAGCTCAAAATAGGACAAAGTGAAGCAGTCTTCGGACTAAAGACCTTATGTTGATGATGCGTACTTTTAATAATATAAATGTACTTCTCTATTGTTTTTTTTTTAATGTGTGTAAAACAGCTCTAGGTTTATCCTATAGGTACTTATAGTGAAGAGCAACTTGGTCTTACAGTCTTGGTCTTGGTCT